TGAACACAGTTGTAATTTTACAATAATTTGTGATTGTTTGATGTCATTTTCTTCAATCCAACTGGAAGCTTCATAAAGGAGGGGGATCATGCCTTTTTATATATCATCAAATCACTAAGACATTGCACAGTATCTAACACAGGTATCGTGAAACCAAATAAAGGATACCTCATTTAAAATGGAGCTGAAGGGCCAGAAAGGGAAGGTCTCGTATCCTACCACTACTCACTGTCAACTGTAGATCCCCAACAAGAAGAGATGTGCCTTGCATTCCCAACAAGAAGCCTATACTTGACTACCCCAGAAAGAGGAAGGAGGCTTTTCCTACAAGCCTGGCAACAGCCTAGCCAATGAGAGACTATCACAACTCAGCCAATGAAAATCCACAATACTTCAAATTCCCAGTTTATTCCAATAAACTTTTTGCTTAAAACAGCCCCTCCCAACTTCTTCCTTTTCTTTATAAAAAGAACATTCCTCTCCTTTGTTCTCTGTACTTGCCCATCATTTTGGATACCTTGCATGTCCCGAGTTGCAATCCCCTGCTATTCCCAAATAAACACATTTTTGCTGGCAAAATATCTGACAGTTTTACTTTTAAGGTCAACAGTGTTCAATAAATATTTACTGAATAAATTATCAAACACTCTCAAAAAAATAAAAGAGGATGGGAACCGAGCAAAAATACTGGAGATGACCCTTAGGAAGATCATTAGCAACATGTGAGAGTATAGTCTGAATATACCGATGAGGGTGGAACAACAGCAATGAGAATAGAGCGAGGACAAGTGGGGGGGTAGGGGGCAGCAGCATCCAAAGAGCTGTTTTCATTTTGCTTTTCCTTAGGCCGGTGTTGTTCTATTTCCAAGACTAAAAGAAGAACGAATTGCAAATGTCAGAGACAGGAGATAATGAGTCAGATAAGAGAGGGCTACAGTTGAAGCTGTTTGAAAATGTCAACAAAGGGGTGAGGTAAGCAAACATATCATAAAGGGGGGATTAATTTAAGTATGACAATATAACCAGTTGAAAGTAATATTTCAACGCAAAGATAAAGATGCTGCTGGGTTAATAAACAGTTAAACCTAAGCAGGGAAAGCATCTGAAAGAGAGCTGTGCTATAACCAAAAGGTAAGGAAACCATATTAAACTGCATTAATCAGCAAAATCCAGATTATGGAAAACTCCACAGGACCAACAACATGGTTCCTTCAACAAACTGCACAAGAAAGTGGAGGAGGAACTTATGAAAGAAACTTAAAAGACTGATCAACCAATCACAACATGTGTACTTGATTGGATCTTGGTTCAAACAAGCAAAGTAAAGAAAAAAAAGGGGGGGAAGGTAGAAAATTAAACACTGGCTATTTGATGATATTAAGGAAAACCTTAGATATTTTAGGTGTGATAATAGTATTGTGGTTATGTTTTTAAAAAGTCCTTTTTTAAAGAAATCATACTGTAATATTTATAGATTTCAGATGCCTGATATTTGCTTCAAAATAATACAAGAGGAGGTATGTGGATAGTGATATAGAAGCAACAGGATTGATCATGAGTTAATAATTATTGGAACTAGGCACTGAGTTCATGGGGCTTCCTTATATACAACTTTTTTTATGTCTGGAAGTTTCCTTAATGTTTTTAAGGATGCAATTTGGTTTTCAAGAATAGGATTTTTTCCCCCATATATTCTTATTTTAGATGGCCTTGGTTCAGGTTTCTTGACCTGGGTTCAATGGATTGCACAGAATCATGAAGATTATTAAATCAGAGCTCGGCAAATTTGGAGCATGAAGTGATCCACCAAAAAACAAGAATTGAGTTGAACAAAAGATACCACTTGAAATAAGACAGGAGTTAGATCCTTCAGGTTGTTATCGATTAAAGTTTTTCAAAGATCAAACTTTATCATAAAGGATAACAAGAAAATAACTGGGGGGTTATGTTGAATGATCAAAGCAGTAGGTAAGAAAAATGACTGTGCTCTTGTTTCTACGACAGATTGATTGGGGAAATTTTATGTCAAAGAAAAAGTCACACAGCTGTAAGATGACCAAACTAGAACAAGGGATATTGCTCATGAGGAAAGAAAAGCATGTGTGGCACTAAAGTAGTGTTGATAGTGGAGATCTAGGCGTAAGGGTCATTCAAATCCTTACAACCTACTTTGTGCCATCTTGTTTATTCCTTTTTCTTCCCGCCCAACAAGTCCAAAGTGACTTAGAGGTCGTGCAAAGGCCCCGAGATTAAGGGGAAAAGTGTTTGGAGAAAAAGGATTAAATATTACCCTCTCCCTCTCACTGAATCCTGGATTGAAGAAATAATATAAATTTGTCAACCAGCACCTGCCTATTTGTGTGAAGTGGGATACAGAACGCTCAGACGGCGGAGGACAAATTGTTTAGCTATGTTGCAGGACAGTGACTAGAAATACTGGGTCGTGGGGACCTCTACGCATTTCCTTTTCCAGGTCTCATCCTCAGCGATTCCCAAAACGGGCACATATACCAAAAAAAAAAAAAAAAAAAAAATTGTTCTTTAAAGAGTAAAATACGGAAAGGGAGTAGACGGGAGCATTCTGGGGGAAAACCGCGAGTGCTGTTCTAGCAAGAAGTCAGTGTGGCTGGAGCACGGGTGCAGAGGATCGTCGGGAGGGACAAGAGACACAGCAGTGGGTCAAACAGCCTTGTGAGCCACGGAAAGCGCTCAATGCGCGTCTGTGTTTTTAAACAGAACCTGTGTGGGTCAGACCCCAGGTGGACCTTCTGAAAAGGCGGATCGCTGGAGATGGCTCCAGCTGAGCTCCAAGAGCCTTCCCTTCCGACGCCACCCACCACCGCAGCCGCCCGGAGTTGGGAAGGGCGGAGACGCAGTCCACTCAAGTGGACCGAACGCTAAGGCGCCCCTGCCAAAACCCAGCTAACTAGCGTTAAAGAAGTTTAGAGAGTCCCCTCCTTCCCTACCCGTGCGCCTGAAGGCGACGCAGATACGGTTCCGGGTAACGCGGCAGTGCAAGGGGGGGCTCGAGCACTTCCGGATCCGTGCCTCAAATCCCGGGCTTCCTCCCGCCTGTGGGAGAAAGCCAAGAGAAAATGAGCACCAATCAGAATGTAGACGTGGAAGACGCTCGCCCTCAGAGCCAATAGGAGGGCTGGAGGGCGGTGCCGAGGGCTGGGGTTCGCTCTTCTGGTTTAAACCGCGGCTGCGGGGCGGTTAACTGCGGCCTCGGCGCGTGGGCGGGCTGTGCGCCTGCGCGAGCTACCGGACGCTAACGAAACCCTGCGGAGCTGCGCTAGCCGGGCGGCGGGACTCGGTGCGGTGAGCGGACCTCGGCGGGGCCGGTAAGCGGACAGGGGCTGGAATAGGGAGCGAGCGAATGGGCCCAGGAGGGCCGGCTGCCCGCTGCCGTGGAGAGATCGGGTTTTGAAAAGCGCGGAATGGGGAGTTTCCCCCCTGGCGTGGCTGGGAAACGCCTGAGATCCTGCTGAACCCAGGTTTACTGCTCCCTTAGGCAGGTGTAAGCACTGTCGTGCTGTGCCCTTGGAGTGCCTGCGTCCCTAGAGGTCACTGTGGGCGCCCGCGGCGCGTCCGGCGTCCACGTCCCTGGCCCAGAGGGCGGCGGGGGCGGTGCCGCCGAGGGAGCCGGGTTCCCGGGAGGCCGCGAGCATCCGAGGCGACAACCACGCCCGGGGCCAGGTGGGCACACGATTGTCTTTGTTGTCGTGCGGGGACCAGAGTCTTCCCAACCCCTGGTTACGCCCTTTGTGAACTTCTGGGTGTAACCGTGCGTGCACCTGTGTCCCTTAGGATAGCGTGGAAAATCGAAGAACTCTATAGTCCTACCCCAGATGAAAATACACCTTTTTTCCTGACTATGAAGTTAGACAGCCCCGTTGTTTTTAGAAATAAATCCAAGAAGTACGAACGTATAAAGAAAAAAAGGGAAGAAAATACTAGATATTCCATCGGCATCCGATAACCGTAAAAAAAAGAAAACTTCATATTTGGGTTTCCTTCAGATATATTCGTTACGAATATATATTTGCATGATTATGCTTATAAAATATTTATATAATTGTATATTTTGAATATAATAAAGCATATTCATTTTAAAAGCACATTATGCCTTAGAATTTTCGGAACAGGTGTCTGTCAAATACCATTTTTAATGGATGTAGGGTATTTCTTGCAGTTGCTGTACTGTGCAGTATATTATTTAACCAATGCCCTAATGATGGACAGCTGTTTTTTCAGTTTCTTCATTATAAAGTAGCGTGATGGTGGTTACATGTATGTATACATGTTTGCATTCTTGTTCAGTTTATCTCCTTGGAGTAATTCTTGGAAGTGGATTATGGCTTAGAAATTGTGGTACAGTTTAAATTGTGATTCATAATGCTAAGCTGCCCTCTAGAAAAATTGATATCCTCCCACCCACCCACGCATACAATGTAAGGGTGCTTATTTCTCCACCCTCTAACTGGCACTGGATATTGAAAAATCTTACCAATCTAAAAGGGTATCTTAATGTTTTTATTTGTGTTATTAATGAGATTAAACATCCTTTTCTGTGTGTATTAGTCATTATTTCTTTGCTAAGTCATCTGTCTTTCCCCTATTCTGGTGTGTGTACCTTTTAATAGCTTTCTAAGAGGAATTTGAATTTGTGATTTTGAATCTGTTACAAGTGTTCCCCCCAGTTGGTTGTTTCTTTGGATTATGGTTGTCTTTCATCAGTGTTTGTTTTGTTTTGTTCTGATGTTGTGGTTCTTTAAGCTGCATGCTTACCTCCTCAGAGTAGAGGAATTTATTGTAACTCTGCAGTAGCCCCCCTGTAATGGTTAGAATCCAACTACTATCCCAGTTTAAAATCCTCCCCTTCCACCCTTGAAACCCTTTCACTTGCAACTACTAAGCCTAGGACACTGAGTTGCTCCAGACTGTTGAAGAGAAGGTACTGTTGGGTATTTTGGTCAATATTATCAGAATCTAAAAAAAAAAAAAAAAAAAAATTATCAGAATCTGCAAAATATAAGCTGCTCTAGCTTCTATGTGAAAGTTTCCCCCTAAGTAAAGGGAAAGGATTATCAGGCCTTTATATTAAAAAGAAAGAATAAAGTTACCTGTCAGCCTTACTAAAGTTTATATTTTGTTATTTACAAATAACCCATGTTCATACATTTAAGAAAAAGAATGGGAGTGTGCCGTAATTTAAATGCAAAGAAGATAACAGGTTAATCACTCTACAGTGTAGTACATATGTCATAAAAAAATCTCTTTGGGCTTAGTGTTGGAGATCCTCCTAGCCCAGAGTCCTATTCCATTTCTGTCCCTGCTTTATTTTTTAGTAGGTAGTTTTGTATTGCATGAACATTGAAATAAATGGTGTAATACTGCTCACAAATCACCATTTTATTTATATATATGTATGTTACATATATATTACATGTTACATATTTATATATAACATGTATAATCTCATTTAAACTTCAGCGCCTATTGGAATAATTCCATTTTTCCAATGAAGAAAGGAAGATCTAAGGCCTATTTCTAACAGTTATTAGTCCATACCTTGAGTCAAAAGCTGAAATTTATAACAAATATTCCCTCAGATAACTTAGGTACTTTTGCAGAGTTACATTTTGGGATTCATCATTGCTTCATCTGTGATGATTGTCCTGAGTTTATCTATAGTAACATGTTATCAAAAAATATTATCACTAAATGCTTATTCTACTAGATTTGATAGTATGGTCCAATTAACCTTGAAAGGATTTTACTTAAGATATAAGACCTTGATCTTCTAATTCCTTTGCTTCTGTAGAATCTCCAAAGCATGGCTTTTTAGTTAGTGTTTTTTGTCCCATGTATCATTTCTTCAGAGTTGATGGTTTTTATTTTTATTTTTTTTAAGATTTTATTTATTCATTTGACAGAGAGCACAAGCAAGGGGAGTAGCAGGCAGAGGGAGAGGGAGAAGCAGGCTGCCCGACGTGGGGCTCGATCCCGGGACCCCAGGATCATGACCAGAGCTGAAGGCAGTCGCCCAACTGGCTGAGCCACCCAGGCGCCCCTAGAGTTGATGTTTTTTAAATAGTGATTTCACAAACTCCGTTCTCTTTCCAGGTTTTTCTTTAACTCGAAAACTAAGGGCAGTGGAGGTACACTGAAATAAGGTAGGAAGTTGAAAAAAATGAAATGTTTTGGTTTGTCCTTACATCAAAATTAAAGGAGAAAGCAATATTTTAAGAACATTCAGGGCATTATGAAATGTTGGCACATCAGGTTCCAAAAACCAATGACTTGATTCAAAATCCAGATGACCTGGATTGTGCCAATTGGCTAGTAAGAATAAACCTTAGTTATTTTGTACCACAATTTTTCCATCTCTAAAATGAGGATCTTTCCCAGTTCCTGCTCTGCTAGAATGTAAAAGCTATTATGTGTCGTCTTCAGTACTACAAGGTCACTTGACTTTTCTTACACTGTTTTACATCCTAAACCTGGAACTTTTTCAGTTAAGTCTTGTTTCTGTGGCCCACCCACTACTAAGCTTCTGTGGCACTTAACACGGTCTGTTTACTCTGTATGTTAATATTGTTTGTAATTATCTTGTATGTTGTCTTAGCCAGCAGCTTGAGGATATAAACCATATTTGTATCCCTGGGGTTTTGAACCTAAGTAGGAACAAACTGTTTGTTGATTGGTAAGTAAAACTTTGAATCTCAAACATACAGTATAATTATTTCATAACTGTACAGAAGTATTACACTCTGCAGTGATGAAAATTGTTATTGAGGCAAAAGGTCTGAGTTCACTTGATGTTTATTATTTTAATGGCTATAAGAGCTAATATATCATTTTAAAAGAATTTTGAACTCTTTTGAGTAAATATTGGTGTTAATAGTATTTTGAGGGTTACTTATCATCTTTGAGAATAAAGCCCCACCTTATTTTCCTGACCCTTGTGTCTCAGATGTGCTTAAGTCTGAAACCTAGGTGTTATCCTGAAAGCCTCCCTACTTTTGAACCTCACATTCATTCAACCATAAAACCCTGTTGCTTCTCCTTTCTTAATTTCAAATTCATCTACTTCTTTCCATCCCCCTTACTACAAATCTAGTCTAGGCCATCATCATCTAATTCTTCAATTATTCTAACAGCCTCCTAACTGGTCCCACTATCTTGCCCTCTTCCAGTCCACACCATACCCAGAGCAGTATTTTTGCTACACAGTCCTGGCTTGTATTTTTTTTTTTTTCAGTGGCCTCTCAAGATAAAATGTAAGCTTTTTAGGAAGGCCTACAGGACTCTACAAACATGATCCTTGCTTCCTTTTCTAAACTATGCTCTTGTCAATGTCAAGCTGTACTCCTGTATTTACAATTACCTGCAGGTAAATCTCTCACGCTTTATACAAACTGCATCTTCTGCCTTGGACACACTTAAAGTTCTTCTTTATCCCCACTTTAACTGGCTCCTACTTGTTGTGCAAGATTTAGCTTGGAAATCTCTTTATAAGAATTTTCCCTAAACCACTACACCAGGGGGTGGTAAACTCCATGGCCTATTTTTATATGGCTCATGAACTAAGCTAAGAATGTTTTTTTTACATATGTAAAAAGGTTGTGAAGAAGAAAAAGATAGGGGCATCTGGGTGGCTCAGTCAGTTAAGCATCTGCCTTCGACTCAGGTCATGATCCAGGGCCCTAGGATCCGAGTCCCGAATTGCGCTCCCTGCTCAAGGGGAGTCTGCTTCTCCCTCTCCCCCTTCCCGCTGCTCGTGCTCTCTCTCAAATAAATAAAATCTATATTAAAAAAAAAAAAAAAGACTGTGTAACCAAGACCATTTGTGGCTCACAGCACTAGACTGATAAGCTTTTTAAGAGATGCTGTGCTTTTATTCAGTTAGGTCACTTTCAGGTAGTGTGCCTTTCATAAAGCAATGTATGAAATATTTAACTGACTAAATTTCTTATTTTTAATTTCTCTCTTAAAAAATAAGACACTCAGGCAAAGCTCTTTGGAGAATTCAGATGAGTAATGAGTATCTCATTTGCTTTTTAAAAAGACAGCATAACAAATTAGATACTTGCAGAAGCAGGCTTTAATGAATTTGAACACAAGGCACAGGTTTCCATGTGTATGTAAACTCCTCTCCATTTCACTGTTGCTTCTTGCTTCTTCGATCTCTTAATCCTTTTGGGGGAAGGAATGAGAATGTTTGAACTCTTATTCAAGCTAGAACTTCCTTTATAGGGCTTAATGGTCTTTGGGTTTGGGGGGGGTGGTATTTTGTTTTGTTTTTTCAAAGAACCGATCATCTGAATTTTAGGACTTCTTGAAGTACATAATATCTTGTATTTCTTTTTTATTCACCTACCACTAGCTAGTTGTTGCCTCCTAGATCCTGTTATGGTTAACTGATGCTTTTAATTTTGGGATCAACACAGACTCTCTTTGTTGGTTTCTCCAAAAGAGTATTTTCTTCCTCCATTGTATCATTACAGTCCCTTTTGGCTTTTGTTTCTTCCTCATGGAATAAATGTGGGTGCTCGATGCGTCCCCTACGTACAAAATGCTGGATCCGGGATTCTAATCCTTGGCATTTAGGACGATCCATGAGGGGTTTATATGTGCGCATTTTCACTCCCTCTACAAAGGCACTGGTCTGCTTTATGACAGAAGGCTTAACATTTCTCCATTCTATCACTCCATCCATCTTTGGTCCTATAATATATACAATCAGATATTACATGGATGCTTTACCACAACAGAATCACCTCCAAACTGTATATAAATCTACCTCTCCCCATGCCCCATATAACTTTGGTTCTAGTAAATAATTGTATCCTAGGATTCTCCTGTCATACCTGTCCCACAGGGTACTGCAACGGAGTCCAGTCCTTGTAGCATGCTATACAACATGTGTGTTTTAACAGCATGATTAGCCCATAGTTGTTGTAGATGGGTAACATTGAACTCCTGAACCTCCCGGTCATAAATCCACTTGATATTTTCAAACTTACAATCATACAAGACCAGAGGAAATTCTACGGCCATACTAGAGAGAAAAAGAGACAAGAAACAGTATGAAAATACACAGCAGCCATCCAACAGCCTTGTATTTTAAGAACAAGGTGGGGGGAGGGTAGGTAATTGGGTTAAAAGGAGGGGAAAACTTTGTCAGTATTGAGTAACAGATTAAGAAAATAAAAAAAGATCCCTAGCCTTGAACAACTTTATAATTAAAAGAAAAAAAAAAAACAAAAAACCAAACCATGGATCAACTAGTTAGGCTTGATCAAAAGAGGATAAATTTCAGTGGTAACAGGTCACCTAGAAGTGAGCTGACTTGTCTCACCCATAATGCTATAAAATTATTTTTTATATTTTTCCAAACTTGTTAATTTTGTATGGTATGAAGTAAAAACTAGATTTCATTGCTTAGGAATGAATTGTTGGTTTATCTGACCTCAGCCTCCTCTCAAAAGAAAAGTCTTGACTATTCTTCCCATCTTTCCTACCATTTCAGACACTGAAAATTAGGAAAAATTCAAAAGTACAATAGTATGACTACCCAATAATATAAAGCAAGGAAGATTTAATATGAATAGTTTGCTCACTTTTAAACTTCACCTAACAGAACCTCACAATAATACCTCTCAACATAAATTCAGGGGAAAAAAAATTTAGAAATGAAGGTTATTTTATTTAAGGGGCCTGGTCCAAACACTTATTTCTTACTAATGGGACAGAACGAGAGAAGAAAAAGATAGCCCTCCTACATGTTCATAACATTCTACAAGAGAGATTAAATTCTTCATGAAGACAAAATAAGTGACCTAGTTAATCAGACAATTGTTGGGAAAGGAAGATATGTTAACCTTCAGTTATTTAAAATATTTAATATATTTAAAAATATTCTAAAGGCAACACTTGTTTTTTTGTTTTGTTTTTAACTTACCTGTATTGAGGTTTCTGGGGGTTTTTCTCTATGTTCAGCAGCTCATCAATAATCTCTGGCTTCTCCATTCCTTGGCCAATCAGAAAAAGGATAGCCATCATACAGCGGACTTGATGATAAAGGAATGCCTGGCCAATCACTTCAAACTGACATAACTGGAAAGGTTCTTGCCATCTCTCATTATCCAGGCTCTGGCCCACTAGCTGTACTTGAGCAGACAGAATAGTCCTCTGAAAATTAATGACTCCATTGGCTACATCCATTTTACATAAGTTCCTAAAATCATGTGTGCCAACATACTTCTGAGCTGCATAGTTCATGGTTACAATGTCTAAATCAGCACGAGGGAAAAAATAGCGGTAAGTCCGCTCCAGACAGCTGAATCTAGCACTGAAGCTAGGTTCCACAGGGGCCCAGGCCAGTACACGGATGTCTGGAGGGAGTACCCGATTGAGAATGTGGGTGTAACGAATCTCTTTAGCAGCATCGTTGATTTCATCTTTTACATTAAAATCCTCTGAAGTCCTGCCCTTCAGAAAGTGAGAACGAAGGTCGAGAGAAATCACCTGTGGAATTAAAAAGAGATGTTTGTTTTGGAGACACAATCTGAACTCTTAATATGTACACCTAGAATATGTTGGTATTGCTTACTTTGAGAAAGAGTATAGTGGCCCTTACCTGTCCAAAGGCACTAACTCCTTTGTCTGTTCGCCCACACCGGTGATAGTTGGATGTCTGTCTGCTTTCTACTAGTCGAGTCTTGGTTAGAGCCTCAAACAGTTTCTCTTCAATTGTATTGTTTGTGTTTTCCTGACTGGCAAAGCCCTGGTATCCCCAGCCCAGATAGGCTATCTTTAGGGCTACATGTCTTCGACCATGAGCACTGAAATCAAATGCACGCTTAGCTTTTCCAGCTCCTAAAGAATTTTCTCTAACATGTGAGTCTTTGTTGTTGGCCTGTTCTTTTTTAAGTCTTTGTACCTCCTGCTCCAGTTCTTGCACTCTTTTTAGGAGTTTCTCAGTCTGGATTCTATCTATGTCATTTTCAGCCATAATAAGACAACCAACCCCAGGAATAAAGGAATCATATAGGTCCACTCGACCTGAAAAGAGAGTAAAAGGATAAAACAGTTTCAATGTGGATTACTTTGGTGATGTCAGTATCATTCCATTATGTGCAAATAGCACCTAAGATTTAATTTAATGCCTAAAGGATATATTTTGCTTCTGTCCAGGGAGACAAGCATTAGCCTAACTGTTATGGGTTGATCATCCACAGATCAACTGGCCAGTTCACAGGGGAAGAGGAGGGGGGGAATAAGAAAGAGGTAGCATCGTTAAAGTTTAATCAGGGAAAATGTAGATCCCATTTCTCTCTTCTTCATTAGCTGAGATGATTTAAGGACTGATGTTACTGATATTTTTTCATTAAAACATTTCTTTTTGACTTTTCATTACACTTGTCCAATCTTTTTAATCATAAAATCTGTTCATATAGTATGTATGTGTCTATTCTTTTTCTAATTTTCCAGTATTTCAGATAAAATTAGTGGCTTGTATGTTCTAACATCTAACACTCAGCTCTGTCTTAAAGGTGCTACAGTAGAGACTAGCCTGATTGATGAAACTTATGATTGTACTTCATATTGGAAATAGAGCCTGAAGTCGAGATTTTCCAATTCTAAGCAGTTTTGATGGCAGAAAAAAGGTAATTAAGCATCACGATCCTTTTTTTAAGTCAAATTTATGTTCTGTACCTCTAGCAGTTAGAAGAGTCAGTCAGGAAAATGTAATTAAGATGTTGACATTCCTGTAGTACGAATGTACTACATCCTTAAAATTGGGACAGTGCTAGACAATCTATAACTGACGGTCACTTTAGTTATGGATCGTCTCCAAATCTCTTCTAAGGCCATGTTATCTAGTTCTTGGTAGCTCATTTAGTTTTTGGCCTTTGAGAGTTTCTTTTATCTATGATAGATTAAAAGTTTAAATACAAAAAAACCGAAACTATAAAAGTACTAGAAGAAAACCTTTTTTATAGTCTTGGAATGGGAAGGACATTTCTAAGTAAGATCCTGTAGAATTGCAGAAACTGTAGACAACCAAAAATGTGACTACCTGAAATTGAAAGTTGTACCAGCAAAAAATAAAATCAGAAGGTAAACAATAAACTTGGAAGAAAAATAATTATGGCAAAGGGCTAATCTGCTTAATTAAGAAGTATTTTATGAATATATACATTAGTTTTAATTTCAGGATCAAAAAGAAAAAATCCAACAACCTGAGAGGTAAATGGGAAAGGAAAAGCATTTCATACAAAGAGGGGAAAAAAAAGCTTATAAAAATGTATGAAAAGTTGTTCAGGTCTACTCAATTTAAATGCCATTCAGATGAGAACTATTTTTTACCAAACTGACTGCAGAGAAGGTTCACTAGTGCACCACTTTGGAGAGGGAATGAAGAAACAGGCTCTGGAAGATGCCATCAGTACAGCTTCTTCAGAGGGCATTTGACAACAGCCAGCAAATTGAGCACACACATCTTTTGACCCACCTACTCCATTTCCAGAAATTTTAAAGATTTTATTTATTTGAGGGCGCCTGGGTGGCTCAGATGGTTAAGCGTCTGCCTTCGGCTCAGGTCATGATCCCAGGGTCCTGGGATCGAGTCCCGCATCGGGCTCCCTGCTAGGTGGGGAGCCTGCTTCTCTGCCTCTGCCTCTGCCTCTCTCTCTCTCTCTGACTTTCATGAATAAATAAATAAATAAAAAATTAAAAAAAAAAAAGATTCTATTTATTTGAGACCGCGCACCCATGCACGCTCTCGCAAGTGGAAGGGAGGAGGGAGAGGGACAAGCAGACTCTGCGCTGAGCATGGAGCTCAACATGGGGCTTGATCTCACAACCCATGAGATCATGACCTGAGCCAAAATCAAGAGTAGGATGCTTAGCCAACTGAGCCACCCAGTCACCCCTCTATGTTTAAGTAATTTTAATACATCTTCAGTTGCCAGGCTGAGTTCATCCCAGTACCCTGTCACTGAAATAAATTTTAGAACCCAAATCAACCAAATACCCAGTGCTAGTTTCCTGACTGGATCTAGGATAGTTAACTACTGCCCACTATTTCCTATATCCCTACAATTTTTATTTTCTTTTGTTTTTTTTTGTTTTTAAAGGATTTTTATATCCTAGTTTTTCTTTTTAAACTGAAAAACTAGTACATGCACATGGTAATTTACACATACGCTTGCACAAGTACGAAAAACTTAAGAGATACTCATTGTAACATTCATTTTAACAAGACTGTAACCTAAATTAAATCAGGGACTGAATGAATAAATGATGGTGTATCCATACGTCAGAATTCTATGCAACTTTAAACAAAATGAAGGAAGTCTACATGTGCTGATAGAGCTGGATCGCCAAGACTGTCTTTAAGGTTCAGAAGAGTTGTATAATATGCTCCTTTATGGTATAAAAATGTACATGTGAGGGCTGCCTGGGTGGCTCAGTCGTTAAGCGTCTGCCTTCGGCTCAGGTCATGATCCCAGGTCCTGGGATCCAGCCCCACATCCAGCTCCCTGCTCCACGGGAAGCCTGCTTCTCCCTCTCCCCCTGCTTGTGTTCCCTCTCTCGCTGTGTCTCTGTCAAATAAATAAATGAAATCTTAAAAAAAAAAACGAATATGGAAAGATTACTAGAGAAAGCATAAGAAACTGCCTTTGAGAGTGAGAGTTGGTAAGGGGAAGGGAGATCCTTACTTAAAATTACATGTGCGGGACAACGTAGGGAATAAAGTCAGTGGTATTGTGATAATAGCGTTTTATGGTGAGATTGCAGCTATACTTGTGAGCTTAGCATACCCTTGTCAAATGTACACCTGAAACTAATGTAACATTTTATGTCAACTATATTTTATTTTTAAAAAATTACCATGTGCATGTACTAATTTTTCAGTTTAAAAAGAAAAATTACAGGATATAAAAATCCTTTAAAAACAAAAAAAAAACAAAAGAAAATAAAAATTGTAGGGATATAGGAAATAGTGGGCAGTAGTTAACTATCCTAGATCCAGTCAGGAAACTAGCACTGGGTATTTGGTTGATTTGGGTTCTAAAATTTATTTCAGTGACAGGGTACTGGGATGAACTCAGCCTGGCAACTGAAGATGTATTAAAATTACTTAAACATAGAGGGGTGACTGGGTGGCTCAGTTGGCTAAGCATCCTACTCTTGATTTTGGCTCAGGTCATGATCTCATGGGTTGTGAGATCAAGCCCCATGTTGAGCTCCATGCTCAGCGCAGAGTCTGCTTGTCCCTCTCCCTCCTCCCTTCCACTTGCAAGAGCGTGCATGGGTGCGCTGTCTCAAATAAATAAAATCTTTAACAAAAAATTTCTTAAGCATAGGAGTGTTTTTATGTATATCACTGCTTTTGTGATGGTTTTGGATTATGTCACTCATAGTTAAAAGCAGGGACTCTGAAGACAGACTGCCTGAGTTAGACTTCCAACTGCACCCCTTACTAGCTATGTAACCTTGTGCTATTTAATCTCTTTATGCCCCATGTTACTCATCTTTTGAAAGTAGATAACAAGAGCACCAGTTCCTCACAGGTGAGGATTACATGAATTAATAAATGTTAAGCACATAGAACAATGCTGGATATATAAAGTGCCCCCCAAAGTGTAAGTTGTATAATGTCTATTAAGCATTATGCCCCATATCATGTAGTCGCAAGTTTTTGTGGTTTTTTTAAGATTTTATTGAGAGAAAGAGAGCGTGAGCAGGGAGGTGGGTGTGGGTACGGAGATAGAGAATCTCAAGCTGACTCCGTGTGGACGCAGGGCCTGATCTCACGACCCATGAGATCATGACCTGAGCCAAAACCCAAGAGTCAAACACTTAACCAACTGAGCCACCCAGGTGCCCCAAGTCACAAGCTTTTATAATGCCAGAACTCACCTGTCCTGTCCTAGGAGCCACTAAAGGTAGCAGGAACTATCAGGCATTAGAAAGTGGGAGCAAATAAGAAGAGAGTGGAGATGAAAGCAGATGATGGCTTCTCTGGAGCTGAGTAAATGCTCCTCCAAACTGCTACCATATTACCCTGTACTATAATCTGTATTTTATAACTATTAGTTTATGATTGCCTTGGCCATTCTTTCTTCATCTGACTATAATAAAGTAGGGAATGAACAATTTAAGAACTGGGAATTAGCAGAAATCTGATCATTATTTTTTCTTGCAGAAGGTCCTACAGTGGAGGGGAAGCAATGGAGGAACTCATGGGACCCAATGTACAAAAATGGGCCAATGTAGATCCAGAAGAACGAATGTTGGCAGCCGCTACAGCTTTTACTCGTATCTGTGCAGGGCAGGGTGAGGGAGATGTCAGGAGAGATGCCCAGCCTATCCAGTATGATCCCTACAGTAAAGCTTCAGTAACTGCAGGAAAGCGACCTGCTCTTCCTGTGCAAATGCAGTACCAACATGTAGAAAGTAATGCCGCTTCAGAAACAGTCTCCGAGGCGTCCCAAAGACTCCGAAAGCCAGTGATGAAGAGAAAGGTGTTGCGCAAGAAGCCAGGTGGGGAAGTATCAGTGACCGATGAATCGATTATCAGTGAATCAGAGTCTGGTACAGGGAGTGATATGGATCTCTGGGACTTAAGACAAAGGCTCATGAGTCTACAGTTCCACGAAGACAGGGAATCCCCAGATGACATTTCACAAAAATTTAACTTACCACATGAATACCAAGGAATTTCTCAAGATCAACTCATTTGCTATCTACGAAGAGAAGGAATGGGCCCTCCGGCTTATGAACAAGACCTGATTGTTGCCAGCCGACCCAAGTCCTTTATTCTCCCAAGGCTGGACCAGCTGAGCAGAAATCGAGGCAAGGTAGACCGGGTAGCCCGATATTTTGAGTACAAACGAGACTGGGACTCAATGAGGTTACCTGGTGAAGATCACAGAAAGGAATTACGCTGGGGTGTCCGAGAGCAGATGCTTTCTCGAGCAGAACCCCAGTCCAAGCCTCAGCACATATATGTTCCAAACAATTACTTGGTGCCAACTGAGAAGAAAAGATCTGCCCTTCGTTGGGGTGTTCGCTGTGACCTTGCAAATGGTGTCATGCCCAGGAAGCTTCCCTTCCCTCTTTTTCCTTCTTAAATATTTTTTTTAGCCTCTTTTATGGGATTGTTTGGGGGTAACCTGGTTCTTTATCTCTGTCCTTCTATTTAAATAGAAACAACTAACTTGAAAGCCCATGGAACATTATACAGTAAGGACTTCACCCATCATTGGTCTTTCCTAGGTGTGTACATTGGTATCAAATACCACTTCACTTCCAAATTACCACTCTCAAATCCACTAATTGCAAGAGAAGTCATGCCAAAGAAAGAAAAACAGACCTAGTCTTTCCACTTTGTCAGATAGCACTGTTTCCGTTCTATACTGTTTTTAACCTTTGGCCAATGTGAGTTGCTGTTTTTAAAGTTGCTGGGCATTAAGCTTATTCATTAAAGAATTGGGATTTTGTGAACTTGATCTTATTTTTACTTACTAATGCTTCCCAAAGTAAGATGATCGCAGAACTGGGTTATGACTCTGCCTCCAATCATTACTCCCCATCACACTCTCACCACTTAAATATTGAGAGCCAAAGGAAAGGAACAAAAAACTGTTCTTTATGCACACAATCCTAAAGGAACAAAGAAAAGTAACAACATATCTCCATTACTAAAGGAACATAGTAAATCTAGAAAATTTAAATGTTTTTTAATAGACAGTAACAGTATTATATGACATACAGGATTCTAACCCAAGTTTTATTTCAGAATTACTTCAATAATTTATTGCCCTCCAGTTGTCACTTCTAGAATACCATGCTTTTTATAATTTGCCACTGAGATTTTCTTGGAAATTATGCCTGTCACTCTGAAAAAGAATTTACTAAATCTGGAACTAGATGTAGACACAAATACCAAAATGAACATGGCATATTTGGGTACGGACCAAAACACTAATTCTGTTCACCTTAAACTGGTTCTATTCTTGATGCTTCTAATCCAGTGAGGATTATCTAAAATCTGGAGGTTGTGTTTTAGCATCTGAAGCCAGCAGAAATAGTTTCCTTGTTCAAGGGAAAATAGCTATGCAATGTATAAATGAGTTACTTTGACCATTACTATCTGCTAAAATATATCTTCTCCGTAATATTTAAGCTACATCATTCATCCAGTTCCACTGTGAGACATTTTTCAGGAAAGAAATAATCACTGACTCAAATATAGATGTAGGATCTGCTCACTGCAAATAAGTAAAAACTGCCAACTATCCAACAATAGTGAAATGATTAAATGGAATATCAGTCATTGAAAATAATGGGAAGCTAATGAAAAAGTGCAAATTAAATGAAACAGGTTGTGAACTACACGATCACAGTCATGTGCACATACAAAGCACAAGGAAAAATCAAAATGTAGTGGGATTAAAGGTAGTTTTTATACTTTTAAAAACCTTAAAAACCACATGGCACTTTTATATGCAAATTACACCAAAGACTTAACTCCTTTAGATTATCTCAAAGCCCAATAATTAACCAACAAAAAGTTTCCAGAGATTACCTTATTAACCAAAGAACTAGTCCAAAGGGTTTAAGCAAGTAAAGATTTGTGGCAAAAAGAGGACTTGAGCCCAAGACTCGTGACCCATTAGAGCTTCCTCCAGCACACCACAGCACACCCTAAGCTGACCTACCGCTTGGAAAGGGGCTGCCAAATTACCACAACGAGGGAATTGGTGTGTGCGCTGAGCATCGACTGTAAACATAATCAGCTATCGCTAGAGTTTCAATACATTTTTTGAAGTTAAAAGATCTAAATCTCAAAATATTTGCAACTAGGGGAGTAGGAGAACGCATTTTCCATGATAAACCTTATTTTAAACCAAAGAGAAGGAGGAAGAATAGCCATAAGGATCAAGAGACATGCACTATGACCAGTAACAGTGAAAAGCAATCTCCTAATTTGAAAAAAGTCGCCTCGCCTCCCTCCCCACATACTACTGGAATCCTGACCTCTACGGGTATTTAGTTTTATGAGCAAACAATTCTGAGGCAGCCGACTTAACTCCTAAGTCCAAGGGCCCTCTAAAAATCGAATTAAAGAAGTTTCTACTGCTGTGAGTTTCTGCCAGGAGCTGCAAAAAGCACCAGATACAAAAACACTGTCCTAAGCAAGATCCCACTTCCACCCATCAATGCTTTGAAGACCAAGGTATGGAAAAGGGGAAAAAAAGGTCCAGCTGTTTGTCCATTTATCCGTTCCTCTTTGTATAAACCAGAAAATAATTCATCCCCGAATCCCCTTACTTACCTTCCGGTTGTCGACCACGCAGCTTTTAGCGAGACAGGAAGCTGTCGCTTTGCGTCTTCCGCGCGCGCGCGCGCGCGCGCGCCCACGGTCTCATGGGAAGTGTAGTCCACCCTTGTGGGAAATGTAGTTCCAAGAGACGGAGGTGCAGGCTTGACGCTGAAATCTGCCTAATATTTTCTAGTCTGGCCACCACTTCTCCACCTCCGACAAAGCAGAATCTGGGGCCTATAATAATACAAGAATAAAGGATAAATTCTAGTGCGATAAAATAACGGAAAAGCAGTTTTTCAAATGTCTGCTGTCCTTATATGAAATTAACATTAAAGAACCTGGACCGATTTTATACCTACTTAAGTTACTAGAAAGTTATCATTGCGAGACAAATACATTTGCTGTTAGAATTCACATGTGAAGTTTGAAAAGGAATTTGATAACCTCAAAACAAACGATTGAGGTGCCTGAGAATGACCGAACAGAGCTGGGGAGTCTTGCTTCAGCACCACGGAGAGATCATAACTAGGTTTTCGGTTTGTGGGTTTTTGCATAGATGCTGATCTAAATCTCAAGATTCCAGTTAGAAAACTGAAAGAAATCTAGTTCTTCTGTCCAAATTTAGCAGTCAGTAGTACAAGGAATCTATGTCAGATTATGCAGATACGGGTAGGAGGTAGAGGTTGTACCGCAAGGAAAACCGTTATCTCAGGATTGCATTAGCAAAGGGCATGTACCAGCATTAAAATTAAAACAAGCCGGTACGTGGAAACATCACAGGTACTAGAACAGGGGCAACAGTTAGAACCTGAACAACTTTACTTCCTCTTCGCATCTTTCTCATTTGAATTACTTTGTCAGGTGAAACTCACCCATTTTGACCCTCTACTTTCCTATGAAATGCTCTGGTCTTTCTGACATCTAGTAATGTAGAAGCGGATATTTTGGGGAAACATGGGCAGGAGTGCTTGAAGCGACCGGGCGGGGGCGGGGAGCGGGGAGGGTCCAGCCTCACCGCCCGGAGAATTGCGTAGTAAGTGGTGAGTAAGGGAGGTAGGACTCTCGAATCAGTGCGAAAATTGCCGCGGCTTAGAATCTCAAGCTGTTGCGGGTTTAGCAGAGGTCAGGAGTAGGCGAGTGTTCACGACACTGGCGCCCCGTCGCGGGTTTCTAACACCTGGCGCCGACGCGCGGCTGGTCGAGGGCAAACCTGCCTCTGAACTCAGTTCTCCTTCCCCTGCAGCCCCCACCTCCTCTCCTGGCTCCGCCCACTTCTCTGGAGCTCCCGCGCCTGCGCGCCGCGCCGCGGGTGGTCGCGGGCGCGTCAGCCTGCCCCCAGAGCAAGCCCATTGGCCGCTGGCTGGAGCCGGGCGCTGCCTCGTGCTGGGGGAGGGCGCACGTGCTGGGGGCGGGAGCTGTGATAGCGGCTATGGCGTCGTTACTTTGGGGAGGCGACGCCGGGGCGGCGGAGAGCGAGCGGCTGAGCAGCCATGTAACCGCCGCTGAGCTGGGGAGGGCAAGTGGGCGGGGGCCAGAACTGTACTCTGAGAGGGAGATCTGCCGGGGAGGGCGGGGGGAGAGAGCCCCGCTAGCGTGTGGAGTGGGGTGTCAAATGGTGGAGGGGAGATGAGGCAAGGATGTGGGGAGGGCCGGGGGCAGGAGACCCGAGAGAGACACGAGACCTTTGGTTTGAAAGGGCAAAATGAAGACCCCTAGAAGTCCCGGGAGAGAAAGCAGCTGATAGTCCCAACTAGACCTTGGAGTTTTCTGCTCTCCCAATTTGACCATTGAGCCTCGGCTAGCTTCCATCTTACCGACCACCGCGCTTTGCTACCCACCATCCTTTCCTGGTGCTGTGACCCCCAAGGACTGCCACATTTAGATTAGAGGACTGTAAAGAGGAACTTAAGGTACAGGGGCAGCAGAAAGTCTCCTTCGAGTTTAGCATAATTCATAGAGGTGACCTATTCCTGAAAAGAATCCAGTGTCAGAATTAATACCTGACACCGCAGAGGAAACAGTATTTGGGCGGGTCCCTCCCTGCTAGGGGGGTGCACTAGGGCTGCTTGGTGGCTTGCTTCCTAATATTGGTTGAAATTTGTGTTTTTCAATAGTTTTCAAACCTCATGCATCCCCGGAAGAACCTTTGGGGTATTAAGAGTACTACAGTCCCAAACATAGGTGAGTGCTATTAGATAAAGCAGATTGGCCCCAATTAATGAAAAAGCATTGCTTTCCTCAGGTCCCTGGCAACTGAAATGCCTCCGGCTCCCATTAACTGTCAAGGTCCTCCACTGCCTTCCCAGTCTTTTAACCCACTCCTTCATTAGATGACCCTTGCTGTCAATGCATACTGTGGAGACGGTCAGATACTGGGATCATACACTTTACGTTTCTGTTTGGTATTTATTGTTTCTCTTCCATTCTTTTAGATGGTTCTATTAATAACACAGAAGAAGATGATGAAGAAGATGTAGGTAGGAGATAAATTTATTTGCGTGTAACCTAGCACTCTGTATCAGTTAATCATGATTTTTCACAATATGAGCGAATAATATAATCTCAATTGGAAAAGAACTGTCTTCTGTTCTCTTCATAAATAGTGACTATCAGAAGAAATACTAAATTAGGAGTAGGCCATATTTCTTTAGGGGAAGTTGAGATGGAATATGCAGGAATGGGTTAAGAATTTTCAGCTTTCAAGGAAAAATTAGGTCTGGTGGTGACAGATGTAGGCTTGCTTAAGGTCAGAGGTTGGTATAGCAGCAGAGCATAAGAAACTGGATTCTTGTGTAGAAAGGAATTCTCAGTGTTGTCATTCTTTCTAGAACCTCCTTTTAGAGGAAAGATGAGAGTAGGAGCAGTTGCTTGATATACAGTCTCTGAATGGGAAGGAGCAATTTATTAGATTCATTTAGGAGGCTGGATTTTCTCCTGCAATATCTCCTTTTTTATTTTTGCTTTCTAGTGGATTTGGCAGCTAATTCACTCTTAAACAAGTTAATCCGGCAGTCCTTAGTAGAATCCAGTCACCGAGTTGAAGTCTTACAAAAGGATCCCAGCTCTCCACTCTACTCAGTGAAAACATTTGAAGAGCTGCGGCTGTGAGTATTTTTACTCATTTATTGTGGGGAAATTCCAGGAAGAATGGTACAGAACAAAAAATCTAGTAATAAAAACTCTCAGAATCACCTTCATGTTCTCATATTCAATATTAAAAAGAGATGTGTACATTTTGCATGCAGTTGAAATATAATTCAAAAAGGAGGACTAGGATACCTGAGTGTAGAGCAAATTGAGAACATCTTGATGGTAAAATATTTTAACCTTGCCATGCTAAGGGGGATAGCTAAGCTCAACACAGCCATGTTGCTCTTCTTCGTACCATAATATAGATAAAGGGACATTGATGGCCCAAATACCCTCTCTCACCCCCTTTAGATAAGTTATAAGCTTTTACCTTCCTAATTATATTTTGTTTCAGATGGTATTAAAATGAATAACTTTCCCAGATGGGTTTGCATTTCCTAGGGATCTATCAACTAGCATTAAGGAACTGCATTTTAACAGGAAGAGTTACTGATAGGGACTTATGTAGAGGGGAAATATCCAAAATCCCAATGCCCCAACATTTTCTAAATGGAGGAAGAAGCTTACCTATGATTAAGAGTTGGCTGCCAGTAATCTGCCAAGTAACCAAATACAAAATATACATGTCGTTGAAGGTGGAAGTGTTCCAACCTACTTCATTTTCTCTTCTTTCTATCCTCTATCGTGAGACCCCAGGAAAGATGCATTTAAAAATGCTGGCTCAGGGGTGTGTGGGTTGCTCAGTCGGTTAAGCATCCAATCCTTGATTTCAGCTCAGGTCATGATCTCAGCGTTGTGAGATCAATGAGCCCTCCGTTGGGGTCTCCGCTGGGCATGGAGCCTGCTTAAGATACTCTCTCTCTGCCTCTGCCTCCCAACCCAACCCCCACTCATGTGTTCTCACTCTCTCTCTCTCTCTCTCAAAAAAAAAAATGTTGGCTCAGAAGGATGAGGTAATATTGTGTCTTCTGCTCCTAGACAGTACTGATGTAAGAATTACCTCAATGAAGTTGTCTTCTCTGAAAATTACTGTTAAAGAATCAAAGATTGTCATTAATTTTAAAAAAGTAAAGAGTATAGGCATCTGGCTGGCTCAGTTGGAAGAGCATGGGACACTTGATCTGGGGGTCATGAGTTCGAGCCCCAGGTTGGGTGTAAAGATTGCTTAAAAATAAAATCTTTTAAAAAAAAGAATACAGTAAATCTCAGTTTTCTGCTTGTGTGGAAAATAAGACTCTTCTGGCATTTTTGCTTGGGTCAACCAAAAGTTCCGTGTTAGGCTATTGTTACTGTCCTCAGCCTAGGCTTAAAGCATAGTTTATTATTTGAGTGGTCCAACTGTGCAGGCATGATTGTGTATGTTTGGGAGTTGAGGTGTAAATTGTATATTTCTAAATATATTGAAGCTCAGTTGCAGAGTGGCTTAATTTAAAAATACACCTTTTGAGTTCATATTTCTGAGGCTACCGACCAATCATAGACTTTAAGTGTGTGTTTTTTTTTTTTTTCTTGATAGGAAGGAAGAGTTATTAAAAGGGATCTATGCAATGGGATTTAACAGACCATCCAAAATCCAAGAGATGGCTCTCCCTATGATGCTGGCCCACCCGTGAGTTTCCAGGGCAGTGCTGTTCCAACTTGGTTTTTAGTCTCCTGTATGCAGTTTATGCCCTGGTGTCTCTCTTTTCTACAGACCCCAGAACCTCATAGCCCAGAGCCAGTCTGGAACAGGAAAAACAGCTGCTTTTGTCTTGGCAATGCTAAGCAGAGTTAATACCTTGGAATTGTTCCCACAGGTAAGAAAAGGTTGAGGGAGGAAGGGGAATGCTTGCAATGCCAGTGATATTTTAGTAATGGGCAATATTACTGCCATGATATGATAGCATTTCAAATAGACATTCTTTCATAAAATCCCAGAGCAGTGGGCAGCAGGATGGAACAGTAACAGGAGCACAGGCTTTCTAGTTTGGTTCCAATCCCAGCCTCTCTACTTACCAGTAGAATGTCTTAGGTGAGTTAGTAGAGCATTCCAGGTCTGTTTCCCTGTCTCTAAGGATAACATCTATAAAGGCGGGGATCATTCCTGAGTCTGAGCACAGTGCCTGGCTTGTTGAATGAATGAATGCCTCATAGGATTGTCCTGTAGATTAAATAATGTCCCTCTTTCACACTGTGCTTGCTCTGAAGTAAGCATTCACTAGTGGTGGCCGGATAGCTGTCAGACCAAAGCATCACCCCGTCTGCCTCCTCCTTTAGCAGAGGGGAGACTGAGGCTTGGAGAGGCACGTGTCTCACATGAGGTCACAGATGTCCGAGAGTGACTGAGCAGGGACAGGAAGCGCACTTGCCCTTCTCTTGGTCTAGCTTCCACTTTTGGAAAGTGTCTGGTGTTCTTTCCCTGTTATTTCCAAGCTGTGCTCATCAACTCATGTGACAAGCTGACTACCTGAGTATTGAGCGCACCCCGTGCAAAGGGTTCTTTCGGGAAGCTTACAGTTTGATCAGCAAGATAAGCTGTGGATGTGGGTGACTGATGCCTGGCGTATGAAATTTTGTGCTTTTTTAGACAGGTTCACTGAAATACATATTCAGGGTTTGGTATTATGAACAAAAATTCTTCAGGAAAAGCTGTGCTTAAACCCATGTTGAGAAATGTGTGTGGAAACAGTTGTTAGTGCTTTATGTTTTCCTCTCCTCTGTATCACAGATCCTTAATTGAAGGCCATAAATGCATTAAGTATCACCAGTTTTCTTCCATCAACATTTTCCTTCCTCAGCAGCCACCAGATATAGGGGGATGGAGGTAACAAAGGAAAGAATTTTAGGGAATATTCTGCCAGAGGTGTATACAGTGGATTGGATCAAGCAGGGAGTGTTCTGGAAACCGGCAGACTTTTAACAGCAGGCAAGAAGTGATGGAGGTGACACTCAAGCAGTGATTCGCCTTGCATTTCCTTTCTTCTTGACTCCCAGCCTCCCTACACCCCACTCTCTCCCACAAAGAAAGCAGGATCTGTGGTTCTTCATAACTCTTTAGAGAGGAACCTATAAAAGGTATTTCTCTGTTCTTCAACCCCTTCTCCCTTCCCATACTCGACATTCACCTCAGATCTATCAGCTGCTGAATTGTGTTCAACTGAAAGTACTTTATTCAACCAAAACCTTCCAGTTTGACCTGTGTCTCCCTGTACGCATTTTAATTGTACTTCAGATTTGCATGATGGCTTGTGTGAGCCTTGCCACTTGCCCCTTCTCTCTCGCAGTGCCTCTGCCTAGCTCCTACTTATGAACTGGCTTTGCAAACTGGTCGTGTGGTCGAACAGATGGGAAAATTCTGTGTGGATGTTCAAGTGATGTACGCCATTCGAGGGAATCACAGTATGTACCAGTAAGCCAGGCCTGGCGGAATTTTTAAATCCCGACTCCACCACCAGCAAGCGTGTTCTCTACCTTCTCAGCTTCCTCGTCTCTAAATTGGGAGCTCTCACAGCACCTGTGCCAAAGAGCTGTGACTAGAATTAAATGAACGGATGCACATGCAGCACCGTGTGCACGCTTGGCACGTGATAAAGACGCTGTACATGTTAGCTGTGTCATTTCCACATCCTGCAAAGATGACGGTTTTGGCTTTTCTTGAGGCTCAGTTGTTTTGTGCTTGTATTGTGTTACGTTTTCATTGAAGTGTTATGTGAGCATAACAGGAAGAGAAAGTCTTTAAAACAGAGAAAGTCAGAAGGCAAAGGTCTCGTCCTCCAAAAACCCGTTTCCAAGGATAGTAGTTTTGTTCACAGACTTCAGTGGTTTGCTTTCTTTTTTCAGTTCATACACATGTGGATGTACATGTATGTATTTGTTTTTGTGGAGTGTTTATGAAAATGGGAGCATTTTTTTCATAGTGTCTAAAAATGTACATGTTTTGGACATCGTTCCATGTCCATTCATATAGTCCCACCTCATTGTTTTGACTAGCTTCATAGTATTCCATAATTTATTTAATGTAACCCGTTGATAGACATTGTGCTTTTTTTCCATTTGGGGACGGTTGGTAGGTTTCTTACCACTGTGCCGGTGTTTCTGTGAGGCGGTGGGATTGCTGGAGGGTGCTTTTTAACTGACTGTGGGGCAGAATCCAATAGGCAGGACTATTACTACCCTAAACCTAGAAACGGGGGGTTTATCCTAAAGCTCTGCAAAATCCAAATCCGCGCTGACCCTCAGGGTTCACACTTGGAAAATCGTCACGAAATATACTTGTGCTTCACAGCCCAATGTTGCGTGGCCCAGAATTGTGGACTGTGAGGGTCCTTTGCATCTGAAGGAGTCAATCAACCCTTTTCTCTCTAGTTCCCAGAGGCACCGACGTCACCAAACAGATTATAATTGGCACTCCTGGGACTGTCCTAGATTGGTGTTTCAAGCGAAAATTAATTGACTTGACTAAGATTCGTGTGTTTGTCCTGGATGAAGCAGACGTGATGATTGACACACAAGGATTCTCAGATCAAAGCATTCGTATTCAGAGGTAAGTTTCACATTCATCCTTTCTCTTCCTGGATCTTCGGTCTGGAGGGGGAGTTTGACTTGTCTGCTGCTGCCAGTTGTCTTCACTGCTTGATTCCCCGCTTCCTTTGCCTCTAAAACAAATCTGGGTGTTCAGTATTTTCACCAGCTCAGCGGGCCCTTAGACTACTGTCATTTTCCCACTTCTTTAGTTTGTCATCTTATATGATTGCTTTTGTTTTCACTACAGGCCTGTACGTGGAACCCACCAAATCGTGCCACTAATTTTTCTAGTAAGAGCAAAAGTCTAAAGAGAATTTATTAAAGCCTGCAAAGGCTACTGTGAGGCTAACTGCTAGAGAGTAGAGAACACAGTAACCTGGAATCAGGAGCCCCGTGGTCTAGTCCTGACTTTGCCTCTCGTTTGTCAAGTAAATCCTCTTGTTTTCCTAGGCCTCTCTCTCAGGATCACCCAAGGGCCTTAAAATTACAGATTGCCGGACCTGACCTGAGCCTCACTGGTTTAGAATTCTGGGAGTGGGTCTAGGAATCTGTATCACTTACTAAATTCAAATAGTACTAAGGGCAGGGGGGAGGGGGGCGCCTGGGTGGCTCAGTCGGTTAAGCACCTGACTCTTGGTTTCGGCTCTATCTCCCTCTGTCCCTCCCACTCATGCCCACCCCCCAAATAAATAAATAAGTCTTAAAAAAAAACCCCAAAACAAACAGTACTGGAAGACCTGTAATGAAAAACAGTACAGTGCTCCTTCTAGAGGATATCTCTCTGTTCTGGTATTAACCCTCATAGTTTAAATAGTATGCTCAAAAGGCTATTTCTTAATGTGTCACTGTCTGCTGACTGCTAGTATAGGAAGTGGGAATCCAGCTCTTTTGTCCCACCACCCTCTCCCCACCTTCCTGTCCCCTCTGCCACCTCGCTGTGGTTACAGCGTAAGAGTTGGCTACATTAATAGTGTTGTTATCATTAGGACATTATACTGTTCATTGTCACACGGTGTATTACTATGATTATGTTTTTTCTTGTACAGCTGTTTCCCCTAAATTAATAATTGCCTGTTTTCCTTCGTTTGGTTAGTATCACTGGGTAGGGATCCTTAATTTTTCTCTGCCCATTTCATCATATGTGTCGTATGTCAGTGATATCTCCAAATAGGCAAATATATTTACAAAGTCTGTCAATGTCTTTTTTTCCTGAAACTCTCACAACCTCTGTCCAGTTTCAGTCCACACTGAACTGTTGTGCAGCTGTCACTATGGGTCTCCCTGGCCCTCATTTACAGTTTGGAATCTCCTGTTTTCTGGGTGTTTTTCTTGGTTTACTGTCAGTTTACTCAGTATCCAGGAGTATATTCTCTAGTGGCTTCCTTAAAATAATGTTGGGAAGTTCACTTTCTATCTCCCACATGTCTGAAAATGTCTTCATTGTGCCTGTAAATCTGATCTTTTGTTTGCTTGGACGTGAAATCCAAGTTAAAGAATTCTTCCAGTAAATTCAGAGTCAATGTTGAAAACAAAAATTTTTTTAAAATGCTATAGTTAATACTCTAGTTCCAGTGTTGTTGCTGACAAGTTTAATGTCATCCTGATCCCCAAACTTTTGTAGGTGATCTGTTTTTTTCTCTCTAGAAGCTTTTGGAATCTTCCTCCTTCACGGTATTCTGAAATTTCTCAATTATATGCATTGGCTTGGGTCCTTTTTTTTTTCTCATCCCTTGTTCTAGACATATAGTGCACTCACCCTGTTCATTTGTAAAACTTGTGCCTGCCAGATCTGGGAAAATTTCTTAAGGTCATTTCTTTACCTACAGTGACCAACTTTTTAGAAAGCAGGACACAGTCGTGGCAGACAAAAAATATATCCATATAATAATACAGAAAAAATAGTCATACACGTGTGTTATTAACATAAAAATATGGGAAATATATGTTTCTTTTAAATTATATATCACCCTATTTTTTCTGTTACATAAATGCGACTATTTAAGCAAAACAACAGAACTAATTAACAGTGGCAATTAGTCATAATTATTAGTACAACTAATTAAATGAATAATATGTATGAGAAACATATAATGGTATTTTATAATGTCATCTTTGACAGCAATTTATTTTAATCTTTTTAAATTCATTATTGGATGCTTAAATTTTATACTCTGTGCTGTTGTATATTCTTAAGATACTCAAATATAAGACTTCTTACAAGGAGAATGTCAATACAGTAGGACTAATTAAACAGCTATTACCTGTGTTTAAAGACCCAACCCCCAGTGACCTATTTTTGTCTCATAGTGAGGTAGGCTGTCTCTACTCTTTCCCTTTCCTCTTCCAGTAATAATTCTTTGAACTACCTACAGCCTTCTTTTTTTTGTATGTGGCAGGAAAACTGAATACAGTCCAATGTAAAATTCATTTTGACTTGGTAGCTCTGCTCTTAGCAAGCTCACGCTGACTCCTGCTATTAGTCCAGTGTGATGTCCTCTTCACAAAAGTGTTCAAGCATGGATTATTTAAGAGTTTACATACTAGCAACACTAGGGTTTTAAACACGCAAGAATTCATGTCTAGCTTTCTAGAAATGTCCACATCAACTCTGCAGGCTTGTTTGGTAGATCAGCTGTTTGTCGCTCTGATCCCTCTTGCTGAAAATCCACCATTCAGGTTATCCACATCTAAAATGTCCATCATTGGGTTGCCTGGGTGGCTCAGTCGTTAAGCGTCTGTCTTCGGCTCAGGTCATGGTTCCAGGGTCCTGGGATCAAGCCCTGCATCAGGCTCCCTGCTCTGTGGGAAGCCTGCTTCTCCCTCTCCCATCCCCCCTGCTTGCGTTCCCTCTCTCGCTGTGTCTTTCTCTGTCAATAAATAAAATCTTTTTTTTTTTTTTAAAGATTTTATTTATTTATTTGAGAGAGAGAATGAGAGAGAGCACATGAGAGGGGTTAGGGTCAGAGGGAGAAGCAGACTCCCTGTTGAGCAGGGAGCCCGATGCGGGACTCGATCCAGGGACTCCAGGATCATGACCTGAGCCGAAGGCAGTCGCTTAACCAACTGAGCCACCCAGGCGCCCTAAAATCTGTAAAAAAAATAAAATGTCCGTCATTTTCAAATACTCTGAAGTACATTAGCTACCATTGTGGTTCTCAGGGAAAATAGTGGTAAAACACGTAGGCGATTTAGGCTTTGGAAGTCAAAGATGGATTGAAGTTCTAGTTTTTAGCAAAGGAACGAGAAAGTCTTGTTCAACTGGGCTGTCCTTTTCTTTCTTTCTTTCTTTCTTTTTTAAATTTATTTATTTGACACGGACACAGCGAGAGAGGGAACACAAGCAGGGAAAGTAGGAGAGAGAGAAGCACGCTTCCCCCGGAGCAGGGAGCCCGATGCGGGGCTCAATCCCAGGACCCTGGGGTCACAACCTGAGCCGAAGGCAGACGCTTAATGACTGAGCCACCCAGGCGCCCCTGGGCTGCCCTTTTCTGGTGACATTTTTGAGTTCTGCAGCCGCCTTATTTCCTAAAAAATGAGTAATTTTTTAGGTAACACCAGATAGCTCAGCTTATCATTTCTGTTTTACTATCATCCTTTTCTCCATTCCCATCTTCAGCGTGTTTTCAGATTAAAGAAGGACTTTCTTTTTTTCTCACACTTTGAAGATATGATTTTATGACTGGCCAACATTTTAACTCTTTTACATGGCCTCAACAGTGAATGTATCTTATAGGCAGACATTCAAGGTGACGCTCTTCTTCCATTTCCGTACAGGTAAAAATCTTACTAAGTGCCTCAGCAAGTTTTGAGGAAGCTAAAAAGTAAGCAAAAACTTTGATAACAAAAGCTCAGTGTCACAGTTAAGCAAATGATTTGCCTTTTAGAAATGCTATTCTCGAAGTATGTGGGGTATTTAGCTGGCAAGATCTTTTCCTTTTCTTTGATAAGTTTATAGGCTGAGTGGAAGCTGCCAGAATTTACATTTGCACTGTCTGCGGCACGTGCAGACAGTTGATGAGAAGCTAGTTTGTATTTGGATGTGATGTCAGCAATCTTCTGTTTTAGAGTTTCTGTGTCTTATTAAAACTTCAAGGAAGCCAAGAAGATATTTTGAACTCCATTTTTCAGATCCTGAGAGATAGGGGGAATATATTTTTTGTTGCTGTGATTTGACATATCACCTGGTATAGTGTACAAAGCATGATCATTAGTAAGATCTTACAGAATTAGCGCTCCACGGAAAGTGGTAAGACCATCTCTGGTCACAATGTCTCCATTTGTTCGCCCGCAGGACGTTTTACTTGCAAGTGCCGAAGCAGGCACTGTAACTCTACTCAGCTTCCTCGAGATTTCAAGGGAGGAATGCAATAATGCATGTCTGTCTGTGCAGAATGGCTAAACGAGTTCAAAGGCAAAACAGCTTTGAATTTAGAAATGTTGCCTGTCTCATCCTGAACTTGGGAGGTTCGGTCTCCGTATATGCTTTCCACGTCTCCTTCCCCACCATGCCTTGCCCCCAATTCTTCCTTCATGCGGTGCAGTTGCTCTATTTCTGGTGTTTACCTCTTTCACCCAGTTGAATGTGTCCTTCTGTCTGTCGTTAAAATAACACAGTCATTTGATCTTCTTTTTCTGTCTTGTCTGGGTTGTCCTGCCTTTCTCTCTTTCTGTTCTGTAACTTCCTTTTCTTGTTATGGATGCAATATGCTGCTGTTGTCTCTCTGAGAATATTAATTATAGTATTTAAGATTTTTTTCTGCTCTCAACGTTGGTTCTGAATTATCTAAGTTTCTTCTTTTTGTTTCTTTGCTACGTCTGTCTCTTGTGGTGGACCTTCCCCCCTCGTATCTGGTGATACCTGGCTAGCCTTTCGTAATCTAGGGTTAGGAACCAAGAAGCTTATTGATAGCTCTGAGTGCATGGCTGGGACTTGTGCCTTGGGCAGCTCCCCTCTAGGATGATCGTTACTTGCAGGTCATTAGAACTATGGAATATCTTTCCTCTCCTCCCTAGGAGGCATACACTTGGTTGCTGGCCTCCTGGGAGCAGGGCCAGGGAATGGGCTGCATGCTCTCATATGCATATTTTCACTCACTCCCTATTTTTAGCTTTCTGCTTTACTCTCACCTTGGGCTGAGGCTGGCATCCCCAAGTCTGGGATTTCTGCACAGACTAAACCTCTGGTCTCCTACTTGTACATGTCACCTGCCTGAAGTAAGGTGGGATACAGCTGTTCCTTATACACATTTTCAGCCAGCCTTCCTGTTTAAAATAATTTTGGCCAGGGGCACGTGGGTGGCTCAATCTGTTAAGCGTCTGCCTTCAGCTCAGGTCCGGGGGTGGAGCCCCGCATCAGGCTCCTTGCTCAGTGGGAGCCTGCTTCTCCCTCTGCCTGCCGCTCCCCCTGCTTGTGTTCGCTCTCTCTGTCAATTAAATAAGTAAAATCTTTAAAAAAATAATAATTTTGGCCAAAGATCAAGTGAGACTCCCTTCTTGCTATCCCTTACCAATAAGTTGGTATATTTATGTATAACCAAGAATGAAAGAGTCAGAATTCTGAGAAAGATCCAGTAGTCAAAAAGGGCTTTCTCTTCAAGAGAATATTAAGTAATAATTAGGGCATTTATGTTGGTTGTTCATCCCTTCATTGTTGATTTTCTTCTTTTGCTTAAAAAAGATTATAGTATTGTCCCATAGAAATATAATGCAAGCCACATGTGTAATTTTAAATTTTCTAATAGCCACATTTAAAAAAAGGTGAAATTCATATTACATTTTATTTAACCCAACATATCAAAAAAGAGCATTTTAACAAGTAATCAATTTAATCAATATAAAAATTATTAATGAAATAGTTTACATGCTTTTTCTCATACTAAGTCTTCGAAATCCAGACTGTTCTGTAGACTAGCCCATGTTTCCTTTCCTTGTGTAATCTGTGTACATTGTCTTTTTGGAATGAAATGGCCAAGTCTTGGGATGCCAGTCCTGGCGCCATCTTTTTCCAGATGGAAGACTGTGATACAGTAGACAGCCAAGAGGTGCCCCCCTTCCTCCTGGCCCCCAGCCCCCACCGCAGCAAGCTAATGCAGAATTTTCCTCATATCTTCTCACACACCACACCTGCTTTCTCTGGCCCCTGGTGCTCGTAGCTCCGAGCGCTCTCACAGGTTCTGAGGGAGGCACTGCCCTTGCAGCCCAGCCACCATCTGCATCACCATTTCCATCTGTACCACTCACATGAGGGCGTCATCCGCTTTCTCATTTACCATGCTTTCCCATCTTCCAGAAATACATTGAGATACCTCATCTGCCAGTTTCCCCTCTTCTGTTCTCTGTGTTGTTGTGGGTTCATATCTTTCTATCTCTTTATAATCGTACTCGTGGTGTGTGGGAGGCTGGGGAGGTATGCGTGTAGACAGTCTACTGTAGTTGCCCAGAAGTCTGTCCACTCATTACTTAGAACAGCTCCCCAGATGACCCACGCCCCAGGCTTGACGTCGTGCCTGGGAGTCACTGGACCCCCTGATCTCCACCACCCTCTTTTAGCACTAATGCCATATCTTCTAGGTGCTGTCTTCTCAAAAGCGGTGATTTCTCTCTGTTGAAATCAGATTAAATTCAGATTTATTGATGTATAAAATATGTTCAGAGAAATACATGAATCACAAGTGTGGAGCTGAGTGAAAATTCAAAGAGGCTGTGTTCAGACGATGGCCCAGACGGAGAACTAGAACTTTACCAGCACTCCAGAGGTCCCCTACGGCTCCTTTCCTGTCACCAGCCTCCACCCACCCCCATCCCCGCCCGCTCCTCCCCAGGATTAACCTCTGTTCTGACTGCTGGCTTCATAGATTCATTTTGCCCATTTTTAAACTTTATGCGAATCAGCCCTGTGTTTGTTACGGGGTTCAGCTCACGTTTTGCATGCAGTAGCATTTCCCCTTTGTTCCCCTTTTGTTTCTATCCAGGTCCTTCCCATCCCAAAGAAAGTTAGTGTGGCTGTTGTTCTTTTCCTCCCAAGAAGTGTAACACCTGCCATCGAATGACTAGCCTGTTTCTTTCCTCCCATTTCACTGTGTGTGAGACGGATACCATGAAGAGTATCTAGACCAACACTCGGGGCTCCTGATCCTGCCTCGCTTAAGCAGAAAATCGGCCTGAAACGCCCCAGGCCCTCCAAAATACATATCTAGACTTTGCTCTTGAGCTCCATACTCAGCTTGTGTGTGTTCCCAAATTCTTGGAGGCAAGGAGGGGCAGGACACGTGGGCCTTTGCACAGAGGTGGAAGGCGTCACCTCCCCCGCTGACCCTGGTGGCAGTGGGCGGGACGTGCTTGACTCTGCCCCGAGGAGAGCGGCAGGGACGGCAGTGGCTGACGGCGTCTTCCCTGCCCCTTACAGAGCTTTACCTTCGGAATGCCAGATGCTTCTCTTCTCAGCGACCTTCGAGGAGTCTGTGTGGCAGTTTGCAGAGCGAATCATTCCAGACCCTAACGTTATCAAGTTACGAAAGGAGGAGCTGACCCTGCACAACATCCGACAGTATTACGTGCTGTGTGAGAATAGGAAAGACAAGTACCAAGCCCTGTGCAACATCTATGGCGGCATCACCATTGGGCAGGCCATCATCTTCTGCCAGGTAACCGTGCCCCAGTCTGTCTTCGCCATGCCCGGACCCGCCCGCAGAGGGTCCGCCCCCCACCGTGGACGGGACGGTGATGCCAGTGAGGGCCAGGCACCCCCTTCAGCACTTTGGGTACAGGAGGGTATTTAATCTTCAGAACAACTCGGGACAGAAATGAATCTGTGTGGAAAGATTAAGTGACGGAGTAAGACTTCCAGATAATGTTAAATAGAGGACATCCTTATTTTAGAAGGATGGCGTCTGACGTTTCCCCATATAGGTTGATGTTCAGTGTGGGGTTTTTATAGTTCCCCTCCATCAGATTAAGAATATTCCTGTCTAGTTCCTAACTTACTGTGAGGAAAGTAGCCACTCAGTCACTCACTATTAATATTACCCTATTTTTATTTTTGTATTTATTTTTTGCTCTCCGACATGTTTCACGTTCACATGTTGGTTTTGTTTTCTCTCTACCACGTGAACACTGTAAACTCCATGAGCGCAGGACCTCATCTGTGTTACTTTCGTAGCCCCACTAGAATGGCGCCCTCCTGACACAGGGACAGCACTGAAAACCTTATCAAATAAAAGAAAGCTCACTTCTGCCACGGACTAGCCATGAAAATCTTGGGCAAGTGACTCCATGTTTTTAAGCTTTGGGTTTGGGTTTTTTTTTTTTAATTTTTTAAATGAAATCAGGTAGCTGTTTCATCAAATTGTTGTGAGAACAATGACCATAATGCATATAAAGATCTGAACAAGACACCGGGCAGACAGGAAGCACTCTTACAGTGCCTGAGGTTGTCTTTACTATGTTACCCCATTTTGGCATCATTCTACCGCGTGAGGTAAGTGAGCATTTTATCTCTACTTCATGGCCGAGAAGCCAAAGCTCCCACAGGTTGAGAGGACATGACCCTGAGAAGCACAGGAGGTGCCCCATTCGAAGGTTCCTCTATGGCTTGAGGGAGAGGTAAAGCAAAACTCCTGTGCAGCCCTTTCCGGCTTCCTCACCGTGCATATGTGAGCATTGCAAACACAGCCGGCCTGCTTGGACTTGGGGTGCTATGCTGGGTTTTGTGTTTTCATGTAGACTCGTCGAAATGCCAAGTGGTTGACTGTGGAGATGATGCAGGATGGCCACCAAGTGTCTTTGTTAAGCGGAGAGCTGACCGTGGATCAGCGAGCCTCCATCATTCAGAGGTTTCGGGATGGGAAAGAGAAAGTTCTTATAACAACCAATGTCTGTGCTCGAGGTGTGTGTGTGTGTGTGTGTGTGTATGTATACATTTAAAGTCAAGTTTATTGAAGTATAATTTACATATGATAAAACTCACTGATTTTAAGTTTACAGTGAGTTTTGACAAACATACAGAGTCATGTGACCATCACCATACTCGAAGTACAGAACAGTCCCCTCTTCCTCCAGAACTTTCTTGTGCTCCTTTGCAGACAGGCTCTTCCTTTTATCATCTGACCCCTGGAAACTACTGATCAGATTTCTGTCTCCGTATTTTTGTCTCTTCCAGATGCTATATAAATTAAATCATATAGTAGTTAGCCTTTGTGTCTGACTTATTCCACTCGATATTATGCTTTTGAGTTCATCCATCTTGTGACATATATTAGTTCAATCCTTTTTATTGCCGGGTAGTATTCCGTTGAATGGATGTACCACAATTAGTTCATCCATTCACCAGTTGATGGACATTTGGATTATTCACAGTTTGGGGCTATTTTGAATAAAGCTATAATAAACATTCATGTATAGGTCTTTCAGAGACATGTTTTCATTTCTCTTGGATAAATACCTAGGAGTAGGATTTCTGGGTTATACGGTAAATGTATATTTAGCTTTATAAGAAACTGTCTTCCAAAGTGACTATCATTTTTTATTCCCACCAGCGATGTAGGAGAGTTCCAGTTGCTCTGCATCCTTGCCAGCAATTGGTATTGTCATTCTTTTTAATTTTAGTTATTCTAGTAGATGTATGTGGCATCTCATTGTGTTTTTAACTCGTGTTCCCTAATGGTGTTGATCATCTCTGAGGTGTTTTTAATTTCAAAACTATTGACTACTGAGGGAAAAAAATCTTTGGTTTTTTTTAAGAGAAGGGCCTTCCTATGGTTTTCAGCCTCCCTATGCCCTTGCCTAGACCCTATACTCGAACCTTGTTTCCTAATTCATTCTTAGTTCAGCAGATAGAAATGAGGACCTGCCGTGCATGTAGAGCTCAGCACTGTGGAAGAGCAGCCTGAAAAAGGATGAGGTCCCAGCCCCTCGGGAGCTCAGTGCCTAGACGCTTACTATCTAGACCAGTGCTACCCAATAGAACTTTCCACATTAATGGAAATATTCTACTCTGTGCTGTTCAGTTGGTAGCCACTGGCCATATATGGCTGCTGGGTACTTGAAACATGGCTACTGTGACTGAGGAAATGATTTTTAATTTGGATTAAAGTTAGATAGCCATATTGGATGGCATGACGCTAGACCTAGGCCGAAAGAGGGCACCAAGAGCTCCAAGGAGGACAAGGATTGTGACCCAGACAGCTTTCTAGTGCTGGGGGCTGGAGGTACTGGGGGATCACAGAAGTCTTCCTAGGGAACATTAGATGTGAAAGGTTTTGAAGGAAGGGTAGAGAATCCAGTTTGGTAAGAATTGACAGTTTGCTTGGGAAATGGCAAGACTGTGTGACTGTAGTGTTGGATTTGAGTCAGGAGAGGAAGAGATGAGACTTCAGGTGGTGTGGAAATCTGGAACTGTTTGTTCTTCATCCTGTGCAGTTGGGGCATTCGGGTCCTGAACACAAGTGTTCTGGATGTTGCCATGGTGACTGTGGTCAGAGAGATCAGAGGAGGAGAGAAGAGGGGGAACCCAGCTGGAAGTTGTTGTAACAATGAGGCAGGGGATAAAAAAGACCTGGGTGGGACGATGACCAGGGCATGGAGCAGAGTGGGATCCCCTGAAGGGTAGGGGACTCTAGGTAGGGGGCCTGCTAGGGCCTTAGCACAGCAGGAGGGGAGAGGAGGCCTTGTCTCTGTGGGCTTGGTGAGAGCCCCTGTCCACAACACACACACAATCTCTGTACATATTTAGACTTCTGTGGAATGAGCTTCTACTGACACTCTTAAATCTAGCATCCTAGACATACTGTGCAAGCAAATTGCCTGACCAAAGTATCCACTTCCATGATGTAAAACCAAGTTTAATTTGTAAATTGTGGCTGTTACATGAGAATTCTCTTGGCAGATGTGGTTTGCGAATAGCTATGTCCTAAGAAACAGTTGCAGGACCCTACAGCATCTCTCCTCTTGTAGGGATCGATGTGAAGCAGGTCACAATTGTTGTGAACTTTGATCTCCCTGTAAACCAAGCTGAGGAGCCAGACTATGAGACCTACCTTCACCGCATAGGGCGGACAGGACGCTTTGGGAAAAAGGGCCTCGCCTTCAATATGATTGAAGTGGATAAGCTGCCCCTGCTTATGAAGATCCAGGATCACTTTAGTAAGTAGCACCTGTCACAGTAGGAACCGTGGACCCTGCTGATGTTGACAGTGATGACGTGTGTCACAGACCTTATACCCAGAGGCTTAGGGTAGCTCTGGGACAGGAGCCAAGGAATGGGGGGCTTTTAATTCACAGTGCCAGAGTCCCTACAGAGCCCCTGTGGTTGATTAAGTCATCCGTATATGGTAGCTAAAGAACAATGGAAAAATCCAGTGGAATGAGTATGAGTTCAGGTTGATGTTATTGCCCATTGTGGGACCTGGGGCAGCTTTTCATGTCCTATAAAGCACCATCCTAAACAAAGTAATAAAGTCCTTTAAGATTATATTCTGTCCCCAGCTTCCTCTCTTATTTACATTTTTCCCTTCCTCTGGCCCTGCCCTAACAACTAGGATGGTCCTGAATTCTGAGATCTGCTGTCCTTCCTCCAGCCCCCCCATCCAACAAGGCATGCTCCGATTACCTGCTGGAGCTCTTGGACTGGCAGCTTGCCCTCTGATGGAAATTGGAAGAGTGACCTAAACTGCGGTGTCCACCTCTCAAATTACCCCATACCCCAAAGCCCATGGATATGGCTGGGGAACAGGGGAAGAGGAACACCCAAATGACCCCAAATATATCTTCACCTTTTGGGAAATTGGTACTGTACTTTGTGGGAAGCAGTGGACTCTGTCCTGGGGAAATGCACAGAGACACACGTATGCAGTCTGGAATACAATTTTGAAAAGTCTACAGACTGTAGCACGTCCACGGCCCCTTCGGGAAAGTTGATTAAGCACCCCTGTGTTAGGAGAAGCAAGGAGGAATGGGGGAAGAAAGAACGTTACGATCCACTCTAGCTATGGTAAACGCCGTATGACCTAATCTTGGGAAGTGACCTCAGTGGAGGAGCCCCCCTCCCTGTTGCCGTCCTGTACCCCACCACCCCCATACACTCACCCCCCCCCACAGGCCCACTTTATTCCTCCTAGCACGACCAGGCCCCTTCCTAGTCTCCCCTCCCTTGCACTCTGGCCTTTTTCCTGCTCAAGTATCTAGACATATGTGTTCTGTTGTTTGGTGCATTTGATGCTATTTTAATCAGTATTAATTGGTTACTTTGATACCATCTCTTCCTAAACTGATCTCAAGAACGTTCCTCTCTCAGGGCTTTCCATGCAAGGGGTCACAGAAACACATATTTGCAGAAGTGTCACTGTCTTCAGAAATTCAGAGTGAGTGGAATGAAATTCCATTGAGGCCCTGGGCTCAGACTGATTCCATTCTCTCTCCTTCTAGACAGCAGTATTAAGCAACTCAACCCTGAAGACATGGATGAAATTGAAAAGATTGAATATTGAAGACAGAACTCTGTTGCTTGTGAATTATCCTAGTTTATGTGAGAATGTCCCAGTGGGTTTCGAAGGTAATTTTTTCCGTTGGGGCTTTTTCAAAGTGAAACTGTTAAATATGGGAAAATAAATGTTATGGTAGCCTTAGTCTTAAGACCTGAGGTCTTTCTGAAACCAGATTGGTGTGAAGCACATGATCTTTTTGAATAAAAAAGCAAGATTATTTCTTATTCTAATCTCATTTACAGGTAGACATCTTTGTGTGGGCCCTGGGATGTGGCGGGACTTCATTTCCAGGATCTGAGCACACCATGCCACCTGTGAACATGTCAGGGTCCACGAGATGGCAGTAGGACCTCACTGGTTTGGGAATGTGAGCTAGCGGGACAGAGAAGCTGTCCAGCTCCAGGCCTCCCTCAGGGGCCTGCTCCGCCATGCAGGCACAAGCACGCGCGCTCACGCACACACACACACACACGTGCACACACACACACACCCCTTAGGTGGGAGTGCAGGGTGAAACCTTCAAAAAGTAAAACAAATTTGAAAGAGAACATTTTGCTTTTTTAAATGTTTCAGTTGACATACAGAATGTGAAAATATTTTCTCTGCTTGGTTTCTTAATGTCTTCAAAATAGAGCAAATTTAATCCATCATCAGCTATCTAATAGTCTCTGAAAATGTGTCTTTGTTATAGACATTTCTTCCAAACAGGCCAGGGAGGGGGGGATCCCATTCGCCTTATTAAAGAAGTCACATTTCATTCAAGGTATATCTGAGAATCCCAGACGTTTTCCTGTAAGTCCCATTGAGATGCTTTTCATTTCTCACATTTGCTGCTAACAAGTGAAAACAGTGGGCTTGAGGAGCCTGGGGAAATTGGTACTCTCGCAGAAAGCTGGAGCAGATCTGCCGTCTGCAGCTAGAGCCCAGGCCCTGGCTCTGTCCGTCCCACCGGAGCCCCACCGGCAGCCACAGGGACAGCCCCCATCACCCTGGCCTGGAAGGGTGTTTCTGGCATAGCTGTTTCGGTATTCCACGCACAGAGCTCCCTGCCCATGTTTTATCCTCGTGAGCAGGGCTCAGAAATACATGAAAACCATCCAGCTGCCTCGCTCCCTGGCGGACGTTTATTGTGCACCCTTTACGCCAGACGCCAGCGAAAAAGAGAGATGAAAAAGAAGTTATGGCCGTCTCAGACTTCAGAGTAACAGCAGCCTCAGAGGAAGCCAGCAGGGTAACAGACTGTGCGGAAGGAGGGAGGGGTGTGCAGGTCACTGGTGCCGCTCGGAGGAGGGGCCCCGAACACCAACAGGGCCGACTTCCCAGAGAAGACATTGTCTCCTTTCACAAGAGAGGAATACATATTGAATGGTGCCTCTGGTCGTGTACTCAGGGCCGCCCTACACTTACCTAACATGGGCCCAGTGAGGCAGCCTTCCGGGTCCGGCTCTCCCGCGCGTGGTCAGTCTTCCTGTCCACTCAGTACCCAGCCCCCCCCCCAGCACAGTGCCCAGCACATAACAGGCGCCCAGTAAACATTTGTCGAGGAAATAATCCTTTGCCATTTCTTCATTCACTAACATTCTTCCCTGATGTTTTCCATCCAAAGTTTTGAACTGCAATTATATGGTATAAGATGACTGATCATAGGAAGTATATCAAGACGTCCTGCTCTCTCTCTTTGAAAAGTCAGTGGGACTGTGCATCATACTCAGCTCCGCACTGGGGAGTTCTAAATAAAACTTTACCATTTCCCTATCCAGTTCAGATCTCCCATAGACTCTCTACCGGTCACCCTCACAAACGTCTTCAGTGATTTCCATTTGGCAACTGTTCCCACAGGGTCTGCAAATAGTGGGCATTCTTCAGCCTTCCCCTTTGCCCCTCTCCTCACATTCTTTTGTCTCGCCACCTAGGAGGCAGCAAAGCCGTCCTGTGTTCTGTGTGCATCACAGCTGTCTTAACACTAGCTGTCCAGTTTGGCGAGTCAACAATCCGAAGGCTGTTTCGCAGGGTGCAGCTCCTTGCTGGGAACTGCAAGCAATTTTCACATCTCCGTGCAAGGCCTGGCCAAGGTCATCTCTCAGTTGATGCCTGCCTGAGGAAGGAGTCCATGGAGAGGCAAGGAATAACCAGATGATTTCAGTGCATCTGTGGGCTGGGTTAATCAGCTGTGTATTACTTGGCCCCAAATACTAAACCAAATCCATTAAGTTGGTCTTGGCCGGCTTGATGCTGTTAACATATTGAAATTCACAATTACGTAGAGCAGGGCTGTGACTCCCAGTGGGAGTTGTGAGTGAACACCTCGCCTGGGGCACAGCTCCTGTGATGTTAGGTGCTGGATCTAAGGCAACTGTGAATAATAGGAAAGGCAAACGCGTTGGTCATAATCTGGCAGGATGTCTGACAGCCCTTTTCAAGAGATGTTACTGCTTTTGGTCATGCGGAGGTGTTGATCCCCCTCAGCAAAGCTTGGTCCCAGCAGTCTCTGCACATGTGACCAACAGTGGAGAGTCTTAGAGGATTGCTCGCGGAGGGGGAGATGAGCTGTACCTTCCAGCTCTGGGGCGAGTAGCTGGTTGGGTCCAGCCTTGCTTCTGCTCTTGGTCCTCTCAAAGGCTCCGTCTCCTTCCCTTTGATTCAAGGAGGGACCCCACTGAAAAGAGGACCCGAGCAGAGACGACACAGCTGTTGGAATGGAAAGTGAGACCGGGAGTTCAGAGCAAGGACCTCTCTGTGGGCCTGCACTTCTTTGCCCTCTGAGCTCGAGGGCCTTCCTCTGATCCTTCCTGCTGTTGTACGGAGAGCCCATGCTTGCTGATCCCGCGGGCACGTGAGGCCCAGCAAGCGGGCCTATGTTAGTTTTACCACAGGACTAACAGAGTTGGGTCCTCTTAAATCCTACCTCCGTCACTCCAACCCTGCCCCCGTGATGGCAGGGAACCATGTGTATTAAAGACACTCAGAGCATTGTAACCCATGGACTAGGAAATATCTTGGTCTTGCTTGAAATACCTCAGACTATGCTTCAAGGAATACCAACTTTATATTCTTGGAAGAATCCCAAAACAGCTCGCCCCAGAATTTTGTATACTTTTTTTTAACCCATGGCTGAGAGGAGAGTTAGACCCTGCCCTTCTTGCTTCTGTCTGCTGACCCCCTGGCCCCGCTAATTTTAGTTTTCGGTTCTAGGTTCTGCATTCTCCCGGGTTCTTGGCTCTCCCGTGCTCCCTGCTGTCGAAGGAAGGATGGGTCAGCCAGGCTCTAGCCTCTCACACCCTCCCTCCCACCCCAGCTGTGCTGCCTGGTGCCCCCCAGAGGCAGGCTGTCAGAGCCATGGTCTTGAGACACTGCCCTCTTCCCCTAGTATTCCGTATTGCTTTGTGTCTCAGTCAGCTCGGGCACCATAACAAAACACCACAGACTGGTTGGCCTAACAGAAATTTCTTTTCTCACAATTCTGGAGGCTGGAAAGTCCAAGATCAAGATCCAGCAGCGTTCAGTTTCTGGCAAGGACTCTCTCCTGCCTTCTTCGCGCTATGTCCTCACGTGGTAGAGAAAGAGAGCACTAGCTCAGTGCCCTCTCTGGTGTCGTTAATCCCATAATCCCACCACCAGGACCCCTGCATCATGACCTAATTACCTCCCCCAAGCCTCACTTCCAAATGTGGTCACACTGGGACTAGGGCTTCAACGTAAGAATTTGAGGTGGGGGTGGAGAACAAACATTGTGTCCCACCTGCCAAATAACACTTCGCAATCTACCATTTTAAAACTATCCATATCCATAACATTCCATTCACTGTCACTTAAAACTTGGGGTGAGGTTGAAGCACCATTATCCTTTTATAATGTGGTTTTCCACCCCACCATTAAACAGGTAACTCTTAGACCCTTCTAATGTAATACAGGGAACACACCAGAGATGGGATGATTCTTGGTGAAGAGAAGGAACAGTATGTCCTGAAAATCTACAGAGAGTCCCACTGCCCCTGTGGAGCTGTCAGCCCTCCTCCCCCAGTTAGCTTCAACTTCTGCTTGGGTTAGAGACAACCGGAAGCTCTAATATATTAAGAAAGATGAGCACTGAAAAGGTGACCCGCCCACTCTTGTATTCCAGAAGAAATGAAAGAATTTTTAAAAGAGATTTTTATTTATTTATTTATTTATTTGAAGGAGAGAAACATAGCAAGAGAGGGAACACAAGCAGGGGGAGTGGGAGAGGGAGAAGCAGGCTTCCCGCCGAGCAGGGAGCCCGATGCGGGGCTCGATCCCAGCAGCCTGGGATCATGACCTGAGCCGAAGGCAGATGCTTAACGACTGAGCCACCCAGGCGCCCCGAGAAATGAAAAAATTTTCTAAATGAGAATCTTTACAGATCTAAAGTCTTTAGTCCTTAAAGAGAAGTGTGGGCCACTATCTAACTCTCTTCTTTGGAAATTCATCTTTGCCCATGATTTTTTTCTTTTTTTTTCTTTTTTTAAAGATTTTATTTATTTGACAGAGACAGGCAGAGAGGGAACACAAGCAGGGGGAGTGGGAGAGGGAGAAGCAGGCTTCCCGCGGAGCAGGGAGCCCAATGTGGGGCTCGATCCCAGGACCCCGGGACCATGACCTGAGCCGAAGGCAGACGCTTAACGACTGAGCCACCCAGGCGCCCCTGCCCATGATTTTTTTCTATTCGGTAGAATGGCCATGGGTTTCTATATTCCCATTTCTAGAATATATTTTTCATGAGTGGGGATAATGTCTTATTTTTTTCTAAAGATTTTATTTATGAGAGAGAGAGAGAGAGAGAGAGAGAGAAAACATGCGTGGGGGGAGGGGCAGAGGGGCAAGCAGACTCCCAGCTAAGCAGGGAGCCCAACTCGGGGCTCGATCCCAGGACCCTGAGATCATGACCTGAGCCAAAGTCAGATGCTTAACTGACTGAGCCACCCAGGTGCCCCTAATGTCTTATTTTGAGCTTGATACCATGTTAGGAAGAATGATGTGGTTTCACTCTAGTCCCATAGTTTGTGATTTGTGGCTTAGAATCCCAGTTGGAAGGAAATGATTGACCAGGACGCCCCGCTTTTTGTGGGGTTTAGAGGCATGGTCAAGTATAACAGCCTCAGGCATGATTTAGAAGGCAGGGCCTGAGCAGGCTACTTTGTGAAGTAGTGAGCTCCCCATTCATGGGATGACTGTTCAGTCGATCAGAAGCCTCCACTACGGTCACTTGCAATGGAGACTGTACTTCTGGTTCTTGAATTAGCTGGGAGTTTGGAATACAGTGATCTCAGAGACCGTGTCCATTCTAAAATACCATGTTTCCATGACTGCACACAGCAGAGCTATACATGTGGAAGAACATGAGCCATAGAAGCCTTGCACAGAAGAAGATTGTTTTCCACAAAGGAGAAGAAAATGGAGTGATTAAGTTGTAACTGCACTCTGTCTTAACCTTCAGATTCACGGCTTCTTCCCCATGTGACCGTCTCTTTATACCTATCTTCATCAACTCATGCAGAATGTGGATTATTTTTCACTTAATATTTATATTACAAAAGCAATAAAACAGCAAATAAAAGTAGTAGGGGGAAATTACCAAAAATATCATTACTTCATCATAACAGTTATCTTGATATAGTCCTTTTCATCTTAGTATGACTATTTATAGTTAATCATAGTGCATATATGTTATGTCTCTTTATTTGAAACAAATGTTTTTTCCTATTGCTGCATAGTCTTTGGAATTATTAAA